ACGAATGATGTAACTTCTGCACTTCAACGATACCTTCTGACTCAAGATAAAACAATTAGTCATATCCATTTCTTTCATCCTGCTCATTGGATATTTTTATCAACGCCTAGGATGAGGGTGAATCTACTCTGCCGTGATCTAGGTTTTTGCCTTACCGAATGGTTTCATTAGGTGGTCTAAACTCTGCTGCAGTTGTTCAAGGCTGATTCGAAAATCACAAACCAACTACTTAGGGCATACCGAAAGTGCTGGCAAAAGCATTTTAAATTTTATACAATATTTAGTATCTACGGTTTATTCTTTTAGATGAAGTCTGTAGGCTTTAGGGCTAAGCGGAAGTTCTAATAACACCAAATAAAATATAAAAAGAATGAGATATTTCTAGTTTTATTTGATTAAATGCTCAAAATAGTCACCATTGTTATCTATAGAAAATTTCATCGTCTCTAACAGTTCTATTGAAGGCTTTTCAAAAATTCTTCTCTTTAAATATTCTTCACTATCTTAATTGAAAACCTTCTGAGCTAAAGATACTTCATTTGTTCGACCAGCAAAATTGTTCTTGATGTAGTCATTTAGCCAAAAGTCACATGACGAAAGATCTGGTGAATATGGTGGATGTGGCAGTATTTCAATACCTTCTTCTGTTAAATAATTAATAATATCGGGCTGTGCATGATGATTTTTTTTATTTTCGTATTCCATTGATAACAGGCTTGGGACAACTTTTAGCCTTGCCTTTATGTACACTGTATGTATAAGAACAGGATCGCTTGATTTACAAAAATAAACAAAAAAAAATGTTACGGGTTCAAATCTATTTCGACGACAATAGTCCTTAGCGGTTCATTTTCACTAAACTAGGTAGCATTGCTTGACATCGGATCAAACTGTCTATGATAAATCCATGTCCCATCCTGACTAATACTATCACATAGTCGTTGTGTTCCATCCAAAATTTTGCTAAATTTTGACGACAAATTCTATGCCGTTCTTGCTTTTGTTCGTCATTGAGTTGATAGACAACCCAAGGTGACGTAACCTTTCTCATCTATAGTCAATCTTGAATCATTCGTCCTATTGTACCACGAGAGAGAAACGAAAAATGTGGAAAGTTCCAGATTGTACTTAAACATTAGACAAGGGACAGTCAAATATTCGCATAGTCATCCTATTATAGACTTTATCTAAAAGAATGCAAGAATTAAAGATAAAGTGGTTATATGCATTATTATAGATGAGGTATTTTACTATAGCATCCATGTAATAAAACCTTCGATATTAACAATTTTATAAAAATTTTAAACATCGGGATTAAAACTTTTGGACAACCCTAAATAAATATTGTCAATACTGGTAATGAATTTTAAATAATGAACCTAAAACTCATTTTTTAAAGAGAATAATATCAGTATAGTGTATTATAATAAAAAACAATGAGATCGACTTTTTCCAAGTTGAATGTTGACAGAATTTATTTTCTATTTATTCTTATACTCAGATGAAGAAAATTTGTTTTTCTTCCAACATGGTGTGATAAAATGAAAAGAGATAAGATAAGAAATTTTAAAAAAATAAAGTGACGTATTAGAAAAAAATGTCGGTGCATAAACCCAAGTAAGCAAAAAATAAAGGAAGATAGCAATCAGGGCAAACAATCAGATACTAAGATCGAACAGGATTCTGTGTCTGGTCATGTATGATCTTGTACGATTCATACCAAATCATACAAAAAATCTTAGTCTCTGAAATCTTACATCTAGAGGTGTAAGCCGAGACCTTAGTCGGCGGCGGCTGCTGAAAATTTAAAAATTTTTTTGGCTATCGGGGGCGGCTGTTAAAAACCTATCTAGCAATCGGCAGCGGTGGCGGCGGCTGGAATTGTTTAATGATTTTTTCGAAAAACTTCTTATTTTTGAAAAATTTTTCGAAGAAAAAAGGATAATCGATAGCAGAAAATCTTATTATACGAAACTAACTTAGAGAGACCGTTGAAACTGATTCCAAACGCTCAAAATATTGAGAAACTAAATATTTTAATTTTTATCACAGCGGCGGCGGCTGGAACCTTAAATAATTTTTTGTCCTAACGGCGGCGGCGCGGCTGGAACGTTTGGTTGTCAGCGGCGACGGCTTAGAAATCTCAAATTTTTTTCATCCATCGGCAGCGGCAGCTGGATTTTTTCGAAGAAATCGGCGGCGGCTAAGCCGTACAGCTTACACCTCTACTTACATCAATTCTTACTGTAAGACTCTTGACAGATGTTGTTGTCTTGCCAAATCTTACTGTAAGATTTTAGAAAATCTTATGTGACGGTAGGGTCTGATAGAAATCTCGAAGTAAGAATTAATGTAAGTTTTCAGAGATTACGATTTTTTTGTACGATTTCATATGATTGTGCAAGACTTACTGTCAGATTTTTTGACCCGGGAAACACTTGTGAAGTCAAAAAAATTTTACGATTACAATAATAGAAAATATTGACTTTACAATACTAAATTTTTCTTCCTTTCACTCTCGATGATTTTAATGTCATTCAGAAAAATAAATGATATGATAACTGGTTATCCAGACCAGCGCTCTAACCATTGAGCTATCGAAGCACGACTAACAACACCCACACCCACACCCACACCCCCACCCCCCCCCCACCCCCACCCCCACACCCCCACCCCACACCCACACTCACACCCACGCCCACACCCACACCCACACCCCGTGTGTACTTCGTATTCATACACTTGTTTGGTGATGTAGCATTGAGGAGGTCGAGGAATCATGAAATTGAGTGCGAGAGCCCTACGTGCTTTTTTAACTAACACTAGTGGGTCCAACGTTGTATCAAGCTTACGTACCGGTCTAAGACGAAATAAATGTTCGAAGGCGCGATAGTCTGCACTGAGCATTGGTCGATCTCGATCGGGTACGAGAAAATGCTTGATTGAAAATAAAGAGTGCAAAGTACGGAAGAATAATTACTTTGGATTTGTCGAACCATATCGAAGAGGAATAGCGATGGCAAGCAGCAGAATGAACAGAGTCAGTCTCTTGAGGAGCGAAAAAGATCGATTCGAAGATACCATAACTCAGCTATACTGAAGATGCAACGTTTCTTCCTTCGGTTTACTTTCAGATAAATATGTGTCTCATGATCATCATAAACTACATATTGCGCAGCACATATCTTTCATCTCGTTCTTTAAGTTTTCTCTCACCTTGTTGTCACTTGTTGCACAATGTGCTCGATAAAGAGATTGGAGAATGTTCTTTTTTCTGTTTCATATAAAAGAAAAAGCTGTTAGCGCAATTCCTACGCGATTAAAAGGTGAAACACGATTGAACTGTTTACTTACCTTATAAGTGAGGAAATGGTGCCTGTTACGTCTATGATGACCAGTTAAATAATTAGTTAACTTGTGTCTCACACGCTGTAATGCATAATTAATTAGAGAGTAATTACTTAACTAATTATGCAATTGATTAAAATATCTGTCACATCTGGAGGGGGAGGAGAAGGGGGGGGATGAGTGCAAATCTCTATCCATATATACTTCAACACTCCTTTTAGATCGTGTTTTACAAAACAGCAGATTCTTCATTTTAAAACGTGCTGTTTCTGAACTGGATGCACCAAAGACTTTAAATATTACGCTGTCAGATAATAGTTTTTGACGCTTTGTATTGCCAATCTTGCGCTTATTTCGTGTCACCTTCACTTGGTAAGACGTACAACTACACCTCATCGACATAACAACATCTCAGCAACGCCTTCTCCGCGTCACAGACGTGAGAGACTTATTTGTTAGTTAAATTAGATGTTAGAAGAATAAGAATAAAAATAATAGAAAGTTCAGAAAAATGAAATAAACAACAAGACAATAGCAAGAAGACAAATAAATAATAGTGCCAGTAAAACACAATGAAAGGAAAAAATTTCTGTCCAAAATGCGAAACTTAATAAGGTAGATGATTTCTCAGATGATCGACTATTCTTAGAAAGCAATTATCATCTGTTACATATTATTCATTTGATGTATTTTGTATTAGCATCATGACGCTAAAGATATGTGAGTTTCACGTTTCAACCCCTCTGGAGCTGCGCTGATAAGCTTTTCAAAACAATATTAATAAAAAACAATTCTTTTATTCATTGATATAAACTAACTTATCATTAGTACTGAATTTAGGCCCATCATCAAAAAAAACGCAGAATACCTATAATTTGATGATTTCTTTTCTTAAGATATAAAACTACGCCACAACGAAACAAAGAAATAATTTCATACCATCAGAGTATTTCATGAAAATAAATGGGAATCTAACATCTCCTGATTGAAATATATCCATCTGTCAATGTTTCCAACATAGATAATCTAATGAATGTTCAATGAAATAGAAATAAAAAAGATGATAGATTAATTCAGAAACACATTGAAATATATGCATAATACATAATTTTGCTCAATGTTTAAAACAAATATTCGAACAATTTCAGTTACTAATTTAAGGCTTTCAGAATTTATTGTCTTTTGTAACATCTAAATTTGGTTTTTTGGGGTGTGGGCGTGGGTAAAGAGACACCCACACCCAAACTCATCTATATCGATCTTTCTGTAATACATGGGTACATATGACCAATCATATATATGCGACTTGTCTCATCAAAACATCTCAATTTTCTGACATCACTATCATGTCACGCAGAACTAAGAGTCGCATTCCATCATATCTGCATACTCACCCATCCTACGAGTCTCCTAAACGTACAACTGCATTCGGATCCACACTTTATTAAATCAGCCGTCTTTTCTAAGACGAATGCCTCGAATCTTTGTTTTTGATTAAATGTAAATGTAAATGTAAAGGGAAAAACTACAAAGTAAAAATTTCATTACATGTAAAAGTTTGTATTTAAAAAAAGCTATATTGATGAGAACATTTGACAGTCGTCACTAATTAAAATTTATTTTCGGTTTTAATCGTGAAAGATATCATATTGTCACCATTTCGATGTTGATAAATATTTCGGTTCTACATCAGAGATGCGCATCATTATTCCATAACAAATGATATCATCTTTTATATAATAAACACCTTCCTTTCCTGGTATAATCCATTCTAATTCATTATTATCAAAATTAGTATCTATTGTAACACTATTTTTATATTTGTCATCGATAAGTGTTTCGATTCGAATTTTCTTTATTGATTGAGGATTGACACGACATTGAAAGACTAATTGATACCATCGTGTCTTACCATTTTCATCGGTTTTAGTACAAGGTATTGCATAACGTGGATGAGCACAATATTCAATACTCGGTGATAAATATACTCGAGGTGCTCCTTTTTTATAATGGCACCCTCTTGTACTTATGCGAAGACCACTTGTAAGTATATCTGTCGCATATTCACTTCTTGTTCCATGATATCCAATATACCAATTACCCCATCGAGCACCGAATTCTTTGTCATTTTCAGCTACTTTAACACCATAGCGCTTCCAACCTGTTACATCTAGAAGAGTTTATCATTTCTTAAAGGTGATATTAGAATATACAAAATACATATGATAATAAGAGTACAGCTTTACAAATAACATTAATATACCCATGTAAACACCAGACGCAGAATATACGCGTGTAATCGCAGTTTCATTGTAGACCGCGTTCAGACGCGCTAAAAATTGATTTTCACCGCGTCTGAACGCGTTTTCATTTACAATCGCGTCTATACGCAGCTGAAGAAAATTTTCGAATGCATCTGGAAGCGATTGCAAATGAAAACGCGTTCAGACGCAGTAAAAATCAATTTTCACCGCGTTTGAACGCGGTTTCGTTTACAGTCGCGTCTATACGCAACTGAAGAAAATTTTCAAACGCATCTAGACGCGATTGTAAATGAAACCGCGTTCGGACGAGGTTACAATCGATTTCTATTCGCGTCTGAACGCGACCAAAAATAAAAAAGCATCTAGACGCGGCCGCAGGAGATTTTGAATCGCGACTGGACGCGATTTTTTACGAGGCCGCATGAAAACGCGTTTTATTAAAATTTTTCAAGCGCGTTTGGATGCGGTTTAAGATAGAACGCATCAAGACGCGGCCAGATGGAGATCTGAGCCGTTGCTTAACACATTTTTTATGGAACCGCGTTTGTACGCAGGTAATAATACTGTTTAGACGCATTTGGATGTGATTTTACGTGAGAGTGCGTCTATACATGATTGACCAAAAACTATTTAAAGGAAGACATACAATTTTATTACCTATACTCTGGTGGACTTTGGCAAGAATAGAAAGAAATGTTTGGTTTAAAGATTTAGGTACTTATATAAGAGAAAGATGTTTTTATCGTAGCATAATAAATTTCTTTAGAAACTTCATCTTTTAATGTATGAAAAAAGTAATACGAGTGGCCATTAGTATAATGAGACTATCTCTCTACTCTGTACTATTTCTACTAATCGACAGCCTGTTTTCAAAATAAGGGATAAATATAAAAAAGTTTTGCATCAGACCGTAGATCAAGAAGTCTGCTCTAAAATAAGAAAGATAAAATTTATTTTCACTTTTTGATCAAAAAACTCTTTTTGAAATTTAAGTTACAAATTATGTCCTCAATTTGAACTTTGTTTTGAACATAAAATATACTTTGTCATAAAATAACTGTACCTCAAGTGTTTAAATGTCATGGTTGGCGTAGTGTTCAATTCATTTCGAATCGTGTGTGTTGTTTTCATTTTATATTGTTACGGAAAGAAGATACACAAGAAGATACTCAAACCCGAATAGAAAATCTAATAGACAAACCTCTTTTCTACGTTTCCTAGACGTACACATCGTCTCTACCTTATCCATTGTGTATACATAAGAAAAACACTCGTAAACTCTGTACTAAGTGCTCTAATGACGTATATAAATTTGCTAAAAAACCTCAAAGAAGATGACATTTTAGAAATTAAAAAAAAATCTTTCTATATAAACATGATTTGAAAAAAGCTTTGGTAAACGCTTTTTTATATAATAAAAAAGAAAGACGAAAAAAGTACATGATATTTGATAAAATATAATAGCTATATAATAAGTTCTAGAAGATAGGCACTATTTAGTATTATAAATAATAGTCTTACACGACAAAATAAATGAAAATTATTTGCAAAAGAAAAAGTTGCCGAAAATTTTAAAGAAATTTTAATATACGCAATTTATTTTATACAAGTTTATTTTCATACAAGAATATCAATATTAACAAATGAGATATAATTTAGGCAGAAAACGTTCTATTGATAAATGCATTTGTACATAATATAGATATGAAGTCACGATTCATATATACTTTCTGTTTAATTCGACAACGATTGTGGTCACATGTGGCTTCATGGTATGTATACTTGCTTCTTAATTGCTAGTTCACTTGTTCTAATCTCATTTCTATCGTTTTAGATAAATCAACATTTCAACCTTCCGTTCGCCTATAGTGAGGTAAAGACCATCGTTAGGGGATATCGATGGCGACTCAGTTCAAACCTGAGACGGATTGCAATATTTTTTTAAAATCTTGAATGTCGAATCGAACGCGTTTAGACGCGATTTAATTTGTAATCGCGTCTAACCGCAATTTGGTTTGGAACCGCGTCTCCAATGAAACATTTCTTGCGTCTAGCCGCGGCTGGAGAAAACCGCGTCTAGACGCAATTTGTTTTAGAACCGCGTCTCTAGTGAAACATTTCCTGCGTCTAGACGCGGTTATTTACAACCGCGTGTAGACGCGATTTTCTCCAACCGCATCTAGCCGCAGCAAATGTTTCACTGGGGACGCCTTTTTTGCGTTTCTTCGCTGGGATTGAGACGCAACGAAACGCAACTCAGACGCGTTTTTATCAAAAAAATATTTACATGGGTAACGATTATTTTGTGGAACTCACGTATATTTTCGAAGAAAATAGTGAGTGTAAGTTTTAAGTTCAAGTTTTGGCAGTTCTCCCTCCCCCATTACAGACATCTAGCAACGGGGAAAGAGAACATTACAGGCATACCCCTCATTACAGACATAGCCTCCATTACAGACATAGCCTCCATTACAGACCTCAGCAACCGCGCAATAAAAGGCTTTAGATTCCATATAATATATCAATGCTTTCATAAATATTCGAAAAAAAGCTATTTCGCAGTTTAAAAATCAGGCGTCGAGATAATAAGTTTAAAGGATATACATGAGTTTCACATTTCAGCTCCTTTGGAGCTGCGCTAACAAGCTTTCTTTATGTTAATTGCTTTTCGTTTAAAAAACATTTAACTTTTGAAAAACTATTCGCCTACTTTGATATACTTATCGGTACTTGAAACTACTTTAAGAGACTTTGGAGGTACTTGAAGGTAGTTGAAAGTACTTGAAAGTACTTGGCGATACTTTTGTAGGTACTTAATGGTACTTTTGAAGGTACTTCATGGTACTTTGAAGATACTTGATAGTAATTTAAAGGTACTTGACTGTATTTTAAAAGTATTTGAGGCTACTTTGCGTTACTTTTAATGTACTTGGAGCTACTTGTACCTACTTGAAGTAACTTGAAGTTACTTCTGTATTTTCAGGTACTTTTGTACTTCAAGTCCGCCGTTTTCCTCTTGGATTCGAACTATAAATCTGTGATTTTATCAAATGGTGATAAACGTTTCACAGATGGTAATTAACATTTTAAAATAAGCAAATTAAATTTTGTTTTTTTCTAATGAATTTTTTATACGAGTGCCTTTTAGTGATTCTCGTAAGAAATCTGTCATTTTTGTATAATCACTCATACATACTTATCAGAACATCATAATGGTTCCGGAAGTGGTAAAAATACTCCTCCTACCACGCTAGGTACTTGAAAACGGACTTGTTGAGTGGTTTTTTGTGTCGTAGAAATTGGTTAAAGAAACTCTATTTGGTGGAGCGTTCAGAAAATCACAAAGCGAATTTACAAGAGTTTAAAAGTCGTCTTTTGTTTCTTCAAGACAGGCCATCCATGCAATCCAATCGGCTTTTGTATAACCTTTGCGATTATCTAATGAAGACCGAACCGATTTTTATGCTTAAGATAGTAAGAGATTTCCTTTTGGCATACAGATGTTGGAAACAAATATAAACTGAAAATTTGTTGCCACATAAGATTGTATTTCTGACTTCAGAGTATTTGGTGTATTTATGCGAGTATTGTTTCGTGGATAAGTGAGATGAAAATAGAGAACTTTTTTCGAAATCCTTGTTCCTTGCTTGTGCAATGCTATATAATTTATAACCATCCTCAAGATAGCTATTATATATTACTGTGTTAGAGTTTACGACACTGCTGCTGACAATGCATATATGGGACACATTATCTTTTTCTGTGCTCTGCCGTTTTTACGACTAAAAGAAAAGAAAACGATGCTTCGCCAACGCGATAAGGAATAAAAAAGAAAACGGAATCTAAATGCGCATACAGAACAACCGTCACTCAGTATCTACATATGGCGCAGAAGGAACTCAACTTTACACTTCCATCGGTCAAACTCAAATTATTAGAAAGAACCCCAACAGTCAAGACAGAAGTGATCAAACATGAACCTCGGCCAATGAAAATGTGGATACCATCGAACTCACTCGTGGGGACTGATTTCAGCAGTCTCACATCCGGTATATCTTCTCTCGAAAAATATTGTCCTATGTTTCCGAAGCTCTTTTTTAGCTGGAGGGTGCCCTGAAACAGCGTTTAGAAATCTCAGCTACAATTACATATCTGAAAAGCGGACAAAATCATATTTGAACAAATTATTTCTGCGGGAAAGGAATATTGATATTCCTCATTTTTCTAGTTTTCTAGAAATCCGGGTGAGTCAGCATGGGTTTGACGGAGAGATACGTATTATACTCTCGCTTCCACACATTCACCCACGTCCATATTCACACCCCCAATTTCTTTTCTTTAGTGCTTATTCATATATGTGCGATCATACACTGTACCTAGGATCCAAAAATTGGCAATTCAAGGAACATTAAGAAATTCAAGGAATTCAAGCTGCTAAAACAATTCCATCATTTAGGGCTAAACCGTACCACTGTATACATGAAAACCAAGCAATTCAATAGAATTTCTTGAATTTTCTAGAATTGCTTGAATTCCAAGACCATTTCAATAGGGAAGGTGTGGGTATCCCTCTTTGAAGCAGTGCAGTAGAATTCAAGGAATTCTATAGAATTCCGTGATTTTCCTTGAATTCTTTGAATTCCAAGACCATGTCAATAGTGAGGGTGAGGGTAAACTTCTCTAAAAAGGATGTAGTGGAATGCAAGCAATTCAAGGAAAATCAAGAAATTCTATAGAGTTCCTTGAATTCCTTGATTTTCGTGGATTGAGCGGTACGGTTTAACTCTAAGTGATGAAATTGTTATAGGAGCTTGAATTCCTTAATTTTCCTTGAATTGGGAATTTCTGGATCCTAGGTATATCTCTGATCATAGATATACACCAAACATCACGCAGCATCTGCTTACTTCTGATGATGATTCGCGATAGTGGAACCGCTTAAAAAAGCTCGTCAGTACAGCCGCTTTGGGGCTAAAATGTGGAACCTCACATATTCATATAACCATGTCTGTCATGGTCTGTGACGATTCGTTGCTAAGGACATCTGTCAGGTCTGTGGGGTGTAGAAGGACTCCTAAAAACTTCGACTTAAAACTTACACTCACTATTTTCTTCGAAAATATATGTGAGTTCCACAAAACCTGGAAAGTGGTAACCAACGACAGTTTGTGTCAAAGGAATCCGTTGAAATCATTTACATTTTTTAGAAAGAGTCTGCCAGCAGGTGATTCGTTTAATGTAAAAAGTACTTATGAGTGATGCATCTATCTGTTGAAAAGGGAAACTCACTCCATTTAACAGTGATTGAACCGTACCTTATATATTGTCAGCAATGCTAGTGTATGTATAGCGCACTTTGTGTTCACTGGGCTGTATGATTCTATGATCGATCATAATCGACAGCAACTTGGCAGCAAGAATTCGAAAGAATCGCTTCAGTCGAGACTTGTCCTCATTTTGTGCGACGTCCATTCTTGAGGATGGATGTATATCGAAGTTGTTCTTTCATGTACACCCGCCTCACCTATGCCGTATCATGATTAGAGATATATTGCTTACAGTTACACATTTCTTTCTGTTGGTGAGTGATTTGATAATAAAATATTAACCCTTTGAGGACGGAATTACTTTGAAACAATCAGGTTTTGTGAAACTCTAAAATGATGTATATATTAGAAAGGAGATCAATGAGGGCACAATACACATGGTATTGTCACAGTACATTGTAAGTGACAAATCTATGATCTCCACCAGCATGTAGGTCATAATAATATCAAAAGAAACATATACAACTCAGCTATAGTCCGATCTAGAGCCTTTGCCTATATATAGGCTTCCCGTCCCCAATGGGTTAATATATTCAATGATTTACTACTATAAAAAGCAGCAGAGATTTTAAGAGTCTTTTTCTTTTTCATATCTTCATATGTCACATGAGTTGTTAATCCTATTGTTATGTATATTTTGAAAATAAAGAACGCGCAAAAAGTAAGACAATTTCAATGGCAACCGAAGAACAATCAATAAAGTTATTCCAGTCTGCTCAGCACGACTCACAATCTTCTGTACAGTCGTCAAACAAAACGCAAGAGTCTTTAATAGGAGATAAAAAACCACCTGTTTCGAATGAATTTCGCCGACAAATACGACTTATCGAGAATTATATTCTTATATGGCTCGATTCTACACCAAAAACAAGGGAGAATATGTACCAGTTTGAAAAATGCACAAATCATATTCTGAAATTCACCGATTCAACACAATTTTTCGATTTTATGAAGCATGCTGATGACATTAAGGTTTATCTAATTATTTCGATTGATTTACTTGAGAATACTATGCCATATATAAATGATTTATCTACACTCGATTCAGTTTTTGTCTTGGGCGAAGAAGTCGCGAAATATGAATTATTGGCTCATTCTTACTGCAAAATAAAATCCATATCGAGAAATTTTTGTGATATATATGATCGCATTCATCGCAATACGAGAATAACTCTCGCAAATGATATCATGCCAACTAGTGTGATTAGAACTGTTGGCAAGGAAACTAATAATGAATTGAATTGTTGTTTCATGTATTCACAATTACTAGCTGATATTCTACTTGGAATAGAATGGACAACTTTATCAAAAACTATATTCGTACAATTTTCTCGTGACCTGTACGCAGACAATAAGGTTACTCTTGGCGTAATCGATGAATTCGAAAAACAATATAATAAACAGCATGTTGTGTGGTGGTATACGCGAGATTCATTCGTCTATCGTATGCTTAATCGTTCTCTGAGAGAGAATGACTTTATTGGTTCATATGTTATGGGTTTCTTTATCAAAGATCTTCACAATCAATTAACAGAGCTATGGAATGAGTCACCACGTGTTGAGAAAATCGTTTACCGTGGGCAAGGGTAAAGAACATTAGGATCATTGTTTTTCTAACAAAAATTTTGATTATAATTAGGATAATGAACGATAATTTTCAATCGTTACAAAAAAGTCGAGGAGGCTTACTATCATTCAACAGTTTTCTATCAACGAGTGAGAGTGAACTCATTTCACAACAATATGCTGAGAGCTGTCTGGGAAACTCTGAAATTCAGGCAGTCTTATTTAAAATCAAAATAGATCCATTAATTAAATCAAGTCCATTTGCTGCTATTGGTCGTATGAGCCATTTTGGTCCATCTGAAAGTGAAATTCTCTTTTCAATACACACTGTTTTTCGTATTGAAGATATTGAACGACTCAACAGTGGAGTCTGGCAAGTGCAGTTAAGTCTGACAAGTGATGATGACGAACAACTGAATCACCTTAAAAATTACATATACCAACAACTGAGAGGTAGAACAAACTTTCATCGTTTAGGTCAGTTAATAGTACGCATGGGTGACTATGATAATGCTATAAATTTATATCAGACAATGTTAAGTAAAACTCCTATAAATGATACCGAAGAACTTGCGTTCCTATATGGTCAACTTGGGTCAATTTATCTTGTTAAAGAAGACCTCGATCAAAGCCGTGTCTTCCTGGAACAAGCAACGAATATATACCTGACCTCTCTCGGTGAAGAGGATACTGAATTAGCAGCTGTCTATTCAAATTTAGGACACATTTATCTTTTGAAAGAAGATTGGAATAATGCTTTGGAATATTTTTGTCGTACACTTTCTATAGAATTGAACCATCCTGAAATAAATCAAGCTAGTGTCGCAACTACATATAATAATATCGGTTGCACTCTTCATTATCAAAACCAGCTTGATGAAGCACTTATCAATTATAATCAAGCATTAAATCTACGTCTAAAAGCTCTTCCAACTTACCATCCAGATTTAGCCGAGAGTTATTCCAATATTGCTGGAATTTATACAGTAAAAGAAGATTATACGACTGCGCTATCGTGCTTGGAAAAGGCGCTTTCTATAGAGAAAAGAACACTTCCACCATATCATCGATCATTAGCCATATCGCACTACAACATGGGTAGACTTTTGGAACTTTTGCATCGTTACAATGAAGCAGTTGTTTATGCTGAAAAAGCCGTTGAGATTGCTCAGCGCACATATCTTTCAGGACATCCTCGAATGACAATGTATGAGGAATGTTTAATTCGCATCTCGCAACAATTACGAGCATAGCCCATGCTTATGGAAGAAAGTCCATGTTTGATTTCTATATAATAATACAAGAAAATGACATCTTATGAATAATGGTCTTCAAAAATGTCTTGTTTCTTTTAGTCTTAAGCAAATGGAGGAAATACGATACTAAATAGTATCGAGAAAACTACAGATTTTGCGTTTGAGAGAAAATATTTTTAAAAAATCAGTATAGAGTAAGAAGAACGACTATTGTCATGGCATATTAGACTCTGAATTCAGTATCAATGGATGTAATCATATGTTATAATCGTGGGGTGTGGGTGTGGGTGTGGGTGTG